GAGACTCTGATTTATTCTCATTTTGCAGGTTAGGAGCTGTCTCTTATACACATCTAGATGTGTATAAGAGACAGGAGAGAGAGAGAGAGAGAGAGAGAGAGAGAGAGATTTGGGACAGTGGGATATTCAGACTTGACATTTGGACAGAGACATGGTGGGGGACTATTTGGGGGATCGATATTGATGACATTTGAGTTGACGATATTCTCATCTCCTACCCCCTCTGCTTCGTCTCTACTTCCTCCTCGTCATCCGTGTATGCTCGGTGCCTGGCGCCTTCATCCTTGTATGTGGAGCCAGGCCACTCACACCGTGTGATCATGATGATGTATGTCCTGTCTGCATTTCGACATTGATTGGGTCTGATGATTGGTATTTCAGTCTTCCGCTGTGGTATCTTGCTCTGTCTGAGAGAGGTCGGTTCTTGGTTCTGGTCTGCACCATATTGGTATGCGACACTCAACTGGCTGCGCACCGGTCTCGTCAGGGAAGAAGAAGAAGAGAAGAACAAGAAAAAAATTAAAAAAAAGAAGAACAAGAAGATGAGAACAAGAGGAAGAAAACACAAAGAAGAATTCCAAGAGGAAGAAGACGCAGAAAAGAAGAAGAAGGTGTTCGGGGGACGGCAGCGGGGGAACAGTGTCACAAACTGTTCTCTCTCTCTCTCTCACCTGTCTACTTCATGGTGGCTTCTTGGGGGTGGCGGGGGATGGCTGGCTCGTGCGGCGCTGGATGGACGGACCATGGAGGGTTTTTGCGGGCGTAGCGATGGCTGGCTTGTTTCTCCCAGGTTGACACTGCTACTCAAAGTCATAGCGTGGTGCTGCATCAACGGGTGATGGGTCAACCCCAGACTGGGGTGTTCATCGGGGAATGCGTGAATGAGGGGAAGGAATGCACACTTTTGTTTGAAGTGCAGATGTTCAGATTAGTTCTCGCCCCCATGTACTTCGAATGCGGCCGATCTTGACTGCCAATCAACCAAGATCGGCGGCCAAGATTGGCCGCCTGTTTTCTATTCAAAAGAGAGCCCTACCGGCCCCAGTTCTTGCTTTTTTGCGGCCGTGGTGGCTTTTGGGAGGCCGTTGGAGGCTGCCTAGTGACTTCAAAAAAGTTTCTGGGCCCCCAGCAAAAATGGATTGGGGGCGATCAGGAGCCCTCTGGGCCGGTCCAACCGGGAGGCTCCCTGTCGGGGGAGTGGTCCTCGGGCCATTAGGGGATAAGCATTGTGAACTACACAATGGAGAACAGGGAATAGTCGAATTTGAGATATTCGAGCTCAAGGGTCACTCTAAAAATTTAGTGAAAATCTTACCACCACAGGACCGCAGGCTTCCACAGGATGTTTTGTTAAACAAACAAACAAACAAACAAAAAAAAAAAAAAAAAAAA